GCCGAAAGATTTATTCATATGCTTCCCTTTCTAAGGGTAAAATTATCCAACTTTGTGATCCCATCTGGACTATAATGGGAACGTTTCAAAGCTGTTGACTTCACAACACAAGTTTCCAGAAAATTCTGTACATTTTTTTGTTTCTACTGTTGAATGCAATTCTTCAGTTTTTTTTTTGTTTAATGTGAAATTCGATTGCCTAATCTCATTAGAGTCACTGGAAGGGACGTAATTCCCGTCCATGTACATAAGTCGTGTACATCAACGAGTTGTTCTGATGATTGCGGAGAGATTTCGTCCAATGGTTTGCACTTTCGTTCGCTCAGTCTCGAGTCTTACATTTGTTTATTTTGTTGATTGACAAAGTCTCCTCACCGCTCATATCTTTGCCGGTACTGCTGGTGTGCACAGTTTTTCTTGCTGAACACACGGGCTAACAGTATGATTATAGAAGGGGCGATAAGTTTTTCTAACACATTCCACTCTCTCTTTGTCTTCCATGCCACTCTTTTATTTGGCTCAACACCTTTCTGAAAATTAGAAAGGAAAGTCTGCTTAACCCAACTCGTTGCTGTTCTCCTCCGTGATTCGTTTAGCTTCGAGGACCACTTGTGTTTGACCGATAAAACAGAGATGTGCTCCCAAGTGGATAGGGTTAGGGATAGGATGTGGCAGAGGAGTAAGTTTGGTTCGCTCTGGTCAGTTCTGTGTAGGCAAGTAGCTCAGATAATTTTAGGAACAAGTGAGCACAGCCCTGTTGAATCTCACAATCCTATCCAGCACCCGGCCTTTGTCGAGGCCTTCCCATTTTCTACTACTGGTGATGCGTCCGTCTAACTACGACTTCTTCCTGATCGTACCTTTCTCCTATCCACCTTTACACCTCCTGCTTCGTTCAAAATCGATTGAGCATGTGTAATCTTCACCGGACTATATCGTATTGTTATCTTGGCTTCGGGTTCCGTCACGCTGCATCAGAATTAAGCTCACCTTAGTGGTACTGTTGGAAATGTGCTGTAGCTCTCGTTGCAGTCCTTAAATTTTGTTGAGAACCACCTGATCAGGACCTGAACCCTCACGTGACCGTCTAGAAGCCACTACTTTTTCGATTCTATCAAACTCCTTGCCATCGCTGCGCTCGTATCAACTAGAGAGAGTCTCAGCGACGAACTACGACCGACTGATGTCATTTCGATTATCGATGGCGGGTTCAACTGAGGTTTCTGCCGCCATTACAGCAGACTCTCCACGCTCACTGTTGATCATTGTTCGCCGCTTGTTCCTTGAGAACTTCGCTGACGAATTTTTTTGCTGGTTAGACCAAAAATGTAAGTTTTGGTGGTTTGTCGCATAATATTTTTCAGATGTTTATCTTCCAATGCTACAGGCTACGAGCCCCTGCTGCCTCCTCCTAGTATATTGAATTGTTATTGACATTCCCAAATAATATTCGCTTATCGATCAAATAGAGGGAGCAGGCAAGGGGTGGCACCTTGAACGAAACGTCCTTCTGAAGTCTCCTCAGTCATGACAGCCTTCTAGCTGAGTTTGAGACCAGGACTTTGGAGAATGAACGTTAACTTCTCGCCTTCTTGCCGGCCAGTTTTGACCGAATAACGAACGAGACAAACGATATGATGGAATCAAAGCA